TCTACTTGACAGGCAAGTATCATTTTTAATGGATGGTTAGAAATATAATTCTATACACCTAGTGAGGAATGCCTCAATAACCAGTCGGGTATAGATGTCTTGTGCACAAAAACAACAAGCATTTTTCTTTAAACAACACTCCGCCACAATCTATAAGTTGCCATGGAAAGCACATAAGCCTCGTGTGATATCTGAATTCCGGAACATTCTACTTTTTTTGAAACGGGAACAAAACGACGACAACTATTGAGAAAGCAAGATAATCTAGAAACTTACCCGTTGCAAAAGTCATATTCCCAGTACGCATGAGTGTTGCACGAGTGAGTGTTGCTATAGGCTACATTTCGAGAAAGTCTACGCCAAAATGAAGGGCTAATCCTATAAATTTCCATCTTTCAAATAGTAGAACCCCCCAAAAGGCAGTTTGCCTTGAAAGTTCAATAATAAGAGATAGTTAGGGTTTTAACTTTATAGAGGCACCTTTTGCCGTAATGTTGACAGAATTCTATAAATATAAAATTCTATAAATATAATTTAGAGGAGCGACATGAATTACACAAAAAAGGCATTTGAGATATTTTTTTTCTTAACTATAATTCCCGCTATATTTGCAAGCAAGTACAACAACTTTAAAAGTATAAAAAGGGTCTATAGTAGCAAGGATTCCATATCTGAAATTCCTTAATCTTTCATTTTCGGTCCCCCCGTTTTGTGGCTTATAATCAGCGAGGTATCAGGGATTATTTCTCTGATACCGCGTTTATATCTTCAACAGCCAGGACGTGTATTATCTCCTTAAATGGCGACGCGGAATGTTTATCTTTGTAACAGTTTCTAAGAATAATAACTTTGGAATGCTATCTAATTTACTCAATCGACATTTCTAATCAATGCCTTTGATGAACAAAGAACCGCACGTTGTAAACAATAGATATCTCAAAAAAAAAGAAACATTGTTGCCGTACTGCGAGTAATTATTTTTTATTCTTTTTTCCCCTTTGAATTTAATCTGATGTCACCACGAGGGACAAGATCTTTTAATTTTTTAATTTTCTGTGTTTTAAATAAAGTTTTTAACTTGAATTTTGTAATTGCGAAATATTCTTTTTTGCTTGTTGTTTATTTTTGGGGCTTCAAATTGTGGTTAATTAAAACCACTCATTCTTTCTCCCATTGGTAATTGTTGCTATTGAATAAAATGAGGTTAGGATCCTCCCTAAATTTTATTGCTAGGGGGATTTTACATCCCCTTCTCTCTGTATATAACTGAAACTTCATCAACCTTTTCCTTTCGTTTCTTTCGTCCTGTTTTTGAAGGTTCATTAATCAGGTTCAGTAAGCCCTTTTTTGCGACCACATCTTAATAAAGTTATATCTTACTAATATTCATTCGCTACCTAATATCTCCAAGCTTTTCAAAAAAAAGAAGAATGCAAGCCAAACATAGAAATATCATCCTACTTGGGTTATACCGAGAGTGTAATAAAGTAAACTATAAAATATAACCTTCTCCAGGTAGTAGTTGTACAATACTAAAAACATTATCAAAGTTTACATTTAGAAATCAAAATGAAGAAGACCTGTATTCCATTTCTGGATATCATCAAGATTCCAAAACAAACTTAGTCATCTTACAAAAAGATTATTTGGGTAATACTTCAGATCAAGCTTGGAATTTCTTATCTTCAGGAAATTTTGAGTCTGATATTGATATTGATATTGACTTAAAAGTTATTGAAGGATATAATTATAAAAAAATGGTTAATCATATTAATGAACAAAACGAATTACAATTAAATAATTCATTTATTGAAATTTTTGAAATGGAATCAAAATTCACTCAAACTATACATTTATTCTTTGATTATTTATTTAGAATTATGGATGAATGTAAACCAGATATTTCACCCATCAATAATGAGGCTCACTATCCGAACAAAAAAGCTTTAATGGATTACTATAAACAATTAAGACATTTATCTGACAAAGAATTGGCAGAAGTTAAAGAAAAAGCTTTGATTACTAACGATGGTAAGTTGCCAATATATGGAGGTCATTTAAGAGAAAACTATTTAGATGAAATGGTTAGAACTAAAGATATGTTAGGTAGATATCTTAAGTTATCAGATAAAGAGGTTGCTAGTTTAAAGAAATCACATTCTGCTTTCTTAAATAAAATGATGAATGATTGGCCTGATGATTTATTAATACAAAATAAATTTAATGATTTTATGAAAGGTGATGGTATTGTTTACTTAGCTGGTGGTAAATATAATCAATTGGTTTTCTTATCCATCAAGATTTTGAGATCAAATGGGTCAAGATTACCTGTTGAAGTTATTATTCCAAAGGCTGCAGATTATGATATTCAATTCTGTGAACGTATTTTACCTACCCTTAATGGTAAATGTAAATTAATGACTGATTATTTACCAAGATATTTCAACAATAAAATTGAAGGCTTCCAATTGAAAAATATTGCCCTCTTAATCTCTTCATTTGAAAGAGTTCTCTATCTTGATGCTGATAATTTACCTATTAGAAATCCCGATGTTTTATTCAATAATAAACCGTTCACTGATAAACATTTGGTATTGTGGCCAGATTTTTGGAGACGATCTACTTCCCCAACCTATTACGAAATTGCTGATATTCCAATTGATCCAAACTTCATGGTTAGAAATTCTTATATCAAGGGAGACCCAAGAGGTGCTCCAACGGATCCTTCCCACTACTCATTACATGATACCAAGAATTCAATTCCAGAAGCAAGTTCTGAAACTGGTCAATTATTAATTAACAAACGTCATCATTTCAGAACTTTGGTATTAGCTATGTATTATAACTACTTTGGACCAGACTATTTCTATCCCTTATTCAGTCAAGGTGCTGCTGGTGAAGGTGATAAGGAAACTTTTATTGCTGCTGCTCATAGATTAGATTTACCTTATTATCAAGTTAATGAGTTCAATAGAGAATTTGGTCCAATGAATGCTAAAAGCAAAAAGAGAGAACTTTTCGCTATGGGACAATATGATCCAATTATCGATTATATTCAATCAAATGATGAACCAGACCCTGTGGCTGAAGAAGACCTCAAAAAGAAAAATAAAAACAGTCAACAAGAACATTTACATAAATCAGATTATTATAGTGAACTACCTTCAAAATATGCCAGACATGCTTTTGATGATACGTGTGACAACTATGACTTCCATTTATTTAAGTCCTCATCTTTATTCTTCTTACATGCAAATTGGCCAAAGTATTACTTGAATGAATTATTCGTCCAAAAAGATGATAGATCTAAACTTGTGATCAACGATGGTCCTAGAACAACAAGACTCTATGGAAATGATTTATTAAAAGAATTGAATGGGTATGATTTTGAACTTACTATTTTTAAGAGTTTGAAATGGTGTTATTGTGAAGAGCCATTGATTGATCTTATGAACGTTCCATTAAGTGGGACTGATGATAGAAAGAAAGCTTGTCATGAAATCGAAAGACATCTTCAATTCTTGGAAAGCTCTAATGTAAAAGCTTAGTTCTGTATATTAAATAAATAAGTTTGTATATTAAATAAGTTTGCATATTAAATTAAGAATACTTTGTATTTAAACGCAACTTGCAATTTTCTTCTAATTTCAGAATTGCTGCAAATTTTTGTTTGTCAGATAAGATTTTCGAAGCACACCAATTTTCTACAAATGAGTACATCAAGCAAAAAAATTAGGAACATGGCTTAAACGACAAAGGGTAAATGTAATTGCAAACATTAGTATTGCTAAAATTTTGTTAATGGCGAAGTTCTGGATTACCTTTTGAATTGCAAATTGGTCTAACTTGTACAAACACAAAAACAAGAAACGATAAAATCCGCTTGAGAAGACTAATAGGATAAGCTAAAAATGGGAGCCCGCCTTTCCGATTATATCATTCCCTGTAGATCTAAACAACTAATAATAAAGTTCGCATCTTCTTGTCTAGTTATCTAGGTGGTGGTCCGACTCATCAATTTATTTGTCAATATTCCACCAAATAATTTACAAAATTTAAACATTAAGTCAACTCTAAATAAATAGCTTGTCAGTAGGTCTTACCACCAGATTACACATACCTACTAAATACTCAAAAGGTCAATCACGCAAACGTTTCTACCCAATTCTTTCATTCTTCGTGCTGGGTCATGTGCAGCTGGTCGGTTTATACATGACCGGAGGACCGACTATCGAACTTCCGAGGACAAATCACGCCTAAGTCACGCGAAAATCATGTGGATATCACGCGTTTATCACGTGAAATAAGTTATGAACAAAAGCTTTCAAAATCCAAAACTCAACAAATGGAGGGTTGGCCGAGTGGTCTAAGGCGGTAGACTTAAGATCTACTGGACAGTGTCCGCGCGAGTTCGAACCTCGCATCCTTCATTATTTTTGCATTTTTTGATAGAATGAGATGGATGCAAGAGTATAACATAAGAGTAGGACCGTAAGAGGTTAGAAGACATTAAAGTTTATGGATAAACAGGTTATGGCTAGTTGCAACAATTTTTTTTACCGTGGGAAAAAGACACTCATATTGATTACTTGTATAAATATATAAATATAAAAATCTCTACAATTTGATTTCAGATTTATTGATGATTGTTTGGAATCCAGCAAGATCTTGGTCAGTTGTGCAAGTACCTCCACAGACGACGATGACAACGATATCGTTGGGTTTCAAATGACCAAAGTGTTTGTAAAAGGCATCAATCTTATCATATACTACAGATAATGCTGCACCACATGCTGGTTCTACTGTCTTGTTAGTACACTTCTTAAAAGCGAGGCATCCTCTCAAGGCATCCACATCATCTATTAGTTCTAATTTTGATTCAATGAAAGATGAATCGTTGAAGTATTGTAATGTATTCTTGGTTGTGTGAGAACATGCTAATGAGGTGGCTAATGAGTTGACCGATTGTAATGTAATTAAATCTCCAGCTTTTAATGATTGAGTTAAGGTGGGAGCTTGTGATGTTTCAATTGCTAAGATTTCTCCATTGCGAATATTGTTATTTTTCATCCCTTGATATATTCCATTATATAATCCACCACCACCAAATGAACAAACCATCCCTCTTAAATTCTTTGCTTGTGAAGGACCTAATTGATCGACGACTTCATCAACTAATGTTTCATGTCCCTTCCAGATCGTTGGGTTATTAAAAGGGTGGCAATAAATTGGTACAACTTCATCTAAGTCCATAGAATTCATTAAATTTCTCAAGTGTTTATCAGCTTCGTTAATATTGTTACCAAACAAGATAATGTTGGCTCCATATGATTTTAATTTATCTTGAACGACCTTCTTGGAAATGACCGGCAAAACCACAGTACATTTAAGTTTATAATAATAAGCCAGATAACCAGCTGCTAATCCTGCATTACCTCCACTAGAAGCAAATATTTGAATTTCTTTATTTGGTTGCTCTCTCTTGGCTTTTTCTATGGAACTTTTAACCAAATATCCAATTCCTCTTAATTTAAAACTACCAGATGGTTGTTCCAATTCATTTTTAAAGAATACTCTACAAGGGGGTTTAATTGGTAATCTATTGGTTACATCTACCAAAGATGTTTGTATGTGTGGATTGGGTAAGGCTACTGGCTGCAAATCTAATGTTGACATATTATTGGCAAACAAAAAAATAAAATACTGACTAAGAAAATCTTTGAGTATTTTAAGAATCTAACCTCGAGAGATTAAAGGAATATTTATAAGAAGAAAGAATGACCCAGCTTTCCCCCTTGCACAACAATAAAGTGGGAACGAAAGGCAAATATCTTCAAGGAAGTATAAATGTAGCATAAAAATGGATAAAAAATAACCCCAAAGAGACTTAAACGGCAAGTAGAGTCATGTATGAAAGTTTACAACGTTATACGCCTATAACCGTTGTGGCACTAGTAAATACAAGCAAAGTTTTGCCGGCAACTTAGCCAGAAACAGAGTAAGTTTGAAGGAGTGACTTCGTTTTACCCCATCATCCCTTTCGAACATTGTCAAGTGTGGAGATTTGACCAAGTTCAGAGTCCCTTTGCACAATTTGTGACTCCGTACGTTGCTAAGATTGACTCGTTTTGGCAGATGCCGAACGAATTTTTATTTCGAGGAATAGAGGGGTACGGATCTCATCGAAGGACTTTAATACCCGAGCGATTTTCCTGTTCTTTCCGGTCCTAATGTCGGCCCTCAAGATGTCGTCGGGAATGTCGTTGAAATGTCAATTTTTTTTCAGTTTTTACGTCAATTGGGATATTTAGTGACACTAAAAATATTTTATTTTTTGTGTTCGGTTCTTATGCACAGAACTTTTGGAAGGGAAAAGAAATTGGGAACATGAGGCTACACACCGTGGGTTCATTTCCACATCCAAAATGTGTTTATATCCCAGGGTCTGAAAATTTTTAAAATTTTAATTCACTCATTCTTTTATGCAAATTGTATGGATATGCATCTATCTAGACATGCTTTCAAAACGACCAACCAAGATAACTTATTCCTATAGAATAGTATCCTAAAATAGAAACTGAACTCACTAAGTTTATAAATTTTTTGCATCCACTATTTAGATTTTCAGTACAAATGGCCTCACCAATATTTATATCAAACCCTTCGCATCACTTTTCCTTCCTATTGATATTAAGGAGTATTCATTTAACAATTCTATCAATATACAGAACATTACAGAATCCTGATTTATTTAGCCGGGAAGTTTGTGGTCTTTTTATGAAAAGTTTCAAGATTTCCATTTTGTTCTATCTAATTACAACTGGTCTTCTAAACCTAACCAAATTGATTTTCCGTAATACTGTTTTAAGACTTTGCAATGGAGATACTTCTTGCATAGTCTGTTTAGAACATTTTATTAACAACTATTCCAATTTGAACATTTTCCTATTCTCGATGTACATTCACTTCGATCCAAACATAAAGACACTATTTTTATCCAACTTGAGATTTTCAGATACGGTATTATCGACATATTACCACAATAAGCTCAAAGCTTTAGAAAAAGATGAGGCACCTTATGATGACTGGAGAAAGACATTTAGACATTTATGGAAACATTCAAGGGACTTCAGACTTCTATTGAGAAGATATATGAATTTATATTTATTAAACATCTCAATTTGGACACTTACATTATTCCCAGGGAAGATATCTACAATCATACTAGCAACTATAGTATTTAGAACTTGCACAGAGAAACTAGGAACAATGGAATCCCTAGTATTAGTATCAGTACTTGGATTCTGTGACTATTATTACACATCGCTCATTTTGACAACTTTCTATGGTGCGACAAATCTCGGAGAAGATTTAGCTACCGTGTATTTAAAGATAATACACTTTGCTCCTTTAGAAAGACAGCAATGGATCAATACGAGACAAGGGGTATTATTTGGAATTGGTTTAGTTTACTACTTATCAATCTATACATTCCCTCAAATAGCCATGGTAATTTATTCATTTGCAGTTATGAGTATGGGTTATATTATAGTAAAAATAACAACACCTCCGCCTTCAACCCCAGGAAGATTTCATGCTTGGTGTACAGGGGAAAGTATTTGGAATAATTATCATCTGATAACAAATGGTGATTTTGTCAATGATCAATTCATGTCATCTCCTTTATATGTATTGACATCATTATTTTAATTTGTAGGTTTTATTACCCGTAATATAACAAAATTCAATTGTCTTTAATAAAGTTGTAATTAATTGACCAAAATGATCCTCAATAATAATATAATGAAATTCAGCTAATTCATCTCTTCTGTTATTCATTTGCAAAAGTGGAATATTGGAAAGCTTACATTGTAGCCATCCATGACCAGTTGTTGAAACGATTAGTTTATCTTCCGGAATCATGTCATCAATATGCACCTCAAATTTTTCCGCATAGAACTTAGTCCCGATAGTAACCACCGCCGAGCTAGGAATATTGACATCAATTTCAACACCTAAATTATTCAATTGTTGATAATTGGTAATCATTAGAAACTTATCAAATTCGTCTTGTAGTTGAACATTGTTAACTTTTATAAACTCAAACATCAATAATTTTAAATATATCGAAATTGACCTTTCAATTTCAATTAGATACAGCTTACAGTGATCAAGTATACTTATAAGCTTTTCGCTTTTTTCCTTAAATACAATTAAGCCATTGATTATGATTTTTCCTAAAGTATGATAATATTGTAATTGATTAACGATTGGATTTCGATTGAATAGCTCAATCAACATAGTCCGGAAATCTGTGCCGAGGTCCGAATCCACTTGTAAATCAAGGTCTTTAATCTCCACAAGGTTCTCATTTGTAAATTTTTCAATCCCATCCACAAAGGCTTCAACTTTAAGATATTCGTGAGTTGCAGATTCCAAGCATGGAATTTTCTCATAATTAGACAACCAATATTCTACCGCTTTCGTGATTGAGGTTTTCTTAGAAACAGCTTCGATGGGTTGATCGAGAGGAGTATCCAACTTAACAAACTGTAAATGAGTTTCATACTGTGTTCGTGTAATATGAGAAAAAGCATCCTTTGGTATCACCTTATAGACAAGTGCTAAAAGATCACTGGAAACAGGATGTAGACCGTTTATTACAAATATACCTTCCATACCTGATTCCTCCTCATTACCTTCGGTTTCACCCTTTGTTACTCCTTCTTCATCTGCATCTAAAGTTGTATTCGAAATCTGGAACGTATAAAGAGCCCTCGCAATAAAGGTTTTAAGAGCTTTATCTGTCTTTATTGTTTCAATTGCTTTTGAGCCACCTGCATCAAACTTCAATGTAATAATATTTCCATCTTCAAATGTAAGGATAATAGTCAAAACTCTTCCAGCCAAACCAGTTACTATCGCAGTACACGCAACAAAAGTATCAAACGTGTATTCGTATGCTTTGATAGGTGTTCCCATCTCAAAGATGGTTAACTTTCCAGTGAACAAAGATAAAAGATATGTTTTATTTCCAATATTTACATATTCTTGCTTTCCACATTGAAATCTTGTAGGTGCATTTAAAATACTAGGAATTTGAATTCCTAATAAATCATTTTCGTAGGAAAGATCATAAGCATGAATTGCATTATCAATAGACGTTATTGCAAGATAGCTCTTCTTGCCATTCCATTTTGACCATTTCATCTTGACCGCTTTGAATCCAAGCTCTTGCGATACCAATAGCTTGGTTTTATATGTATCTTGATTAATTTCATAAACAGACAAAGTATTATTTCCATCGATAATTGAAAGAAACAAAGTATCCTCGGTTCCAATTGAAATTGTACTAAGGGAAAAGCATCTAACCTTCAACGCAAATTTCTGAAAGGAATTAACTCTATACGCTTCCCCATCAAAACTAATTCCTAGTTGCTTGGCTAACACTTCAAACATTTGCACTCTCACATCATACTTAGTGCTTTGGACATTCTTTCTCGACATAATAATCAATTCACCAGTGTTGAACAAGACACCTATCATGTTATCGCGCGAAGTCTGAGAAGTTGAACTCCATTGGTGTGCAACAATTGTAGGGTCATTAATATAGGATATATCGAAAGGTTCATCCGCAGAATCAACATTGACTTTATTGAATTTCCCAAGCGGTAAATATTGAACTTGTTCTTCATCTAAGATAGTAGACATTTGGAATAAATGCTTAGGATCCAATACTGGATTATTGTTAACTTTGATTATCCCTTGATGTAATGATGGTAGTTTGGGTTCAATGATTGCCAATTGAGTAAATCCACATATGGCCAATTGCAAGTTTTCTGTCCATTGACATGGGTTGTTCTGAGGTAGCGATGCCTCTACTTTAAGAAGGGGGTAATCAGTGATTAATGACATTCAATTCTGGATAATGAAGAAACGATATTAAGAAGAATTGGGGGAAGATTAAATTTGTTTACTTTCCTCTTTTCAAAAGATCCGACCAAATGAAAAATATGAAATTCACGTGATCTAAAACCGGAATTTGTATCAGTTTTGCAACCATAAGCGATGAGGTATGGATACATATAAAAGTTGGACCAACAAAGATGATACGTACTATATAAGCTTATAAGATACATCACCAATCCACAAAATACTAATAGTCCCTACGTATGCCATAAAAAACTTTTAAAAATTGTTGGAATATCACTTGTCGTTGATATTTCTTGAATTCTATCAGACAGATACCTTTTGGGTCTACTTTTTTGTTAAATTCCGTCAATCGTTGTTAGCAGAACCAACCATTCACTCAGACAATTCAAGCGAGGATATATCAATCAGTTTTTGGAATTGTTCTCTTTTACTTTTCGTCCCACAATTTGAATCATCTTTGTGGTTCTTTTAAGGGAAATACACAATTGTTGTAAAACGCGTCTGTTGGAAAAACATTTTTACTAATTACTAATAATTCATCGAGACTTAAGCAAGTAGATGTGATTCCAGCAAATGAAAACTTCAACATGCAAAGAAAATTCCGTTCCATATAGCCATCCATATACTCCATATGATATTCAGATCCAATTAATGGATGCTATTTATGATACGATAGAGAATGGTTATAAAATTGGTATATTCGAAAGTCCTACGGGTACTGGGAAGACTTTGTCTATTATATGTTCATCTATGACCTGGTTACGTGAATATAAGAGAAACAATACCTTCCAGGAAACTTCAAATGGAAAGACAGGTACACAAGAAGAAAGCGATGAAGGTGAAGAAGAAGAAGAACCTGAATGGGTTAAAACTGCTTATCGAGAATCAATAGTAAATCGATCCAAGAGCAAATTAAAGGAGTATGAACAATATTTAGACAAACTTGAAAATGATTTTACAAGCAACGTTAGGAGAGAGGAAAAATTAAAGGAGAAATCATTCAAGCGATTCAAAGTAGACAAACTGTCTGACTCACAGGAAGAGTTTCTCCCGGATGATTACTACAGTGACTCCGAGCTAAATACAATCGAAGATCAAAATGAAAAATTATCAAAGGAAATAAACAAGTTAATGAAGCGCGCAGAATCAGCTAATGACGTAAACTTCCTTAATGAATGTCCAATTAAGATTTTTTATACATCTAGAACCCATTCCCAATTGAATCAATTCTCGGATCAATTGAGACTAACCAAATTCAAGGCATCATTTGATGAACTAGAAGAACGGACAAAATATTTGCCCCTTGGTTCAAGGAAACAATTATGCATAAATGACAAGGTCAGAGCATTGCGTATTGACCAAAGTATGAACGACGCTTGTATTGATTTACAGAAAACGAAAGAAGGGTGTGAGTTTCTTCCCAAGAATTACATGAATTCAGGATTAACTAAAGAATTTGCTGATCTCAGCCTTGCTCAAATCAGAGACATAGAAGATTTGAACTACTTGGGTACAAGTATGAAGGTATGCCCATATTACTCGGTTAGAAGAGGCATTGAATTAACAGAAATAATTTCATTGCCCTATCAAATGCTATTTCAAGATTCCACAAGAGATATTTTAAACTTGGATATCAAGGATTCAATAATTATTATTGACGAAGCTCACAATATCTTGGATGTAATAACTTCATTATATTCAGTGAAAATCAGTATTGATCAATTAACCAAAGTTACAAAATCCTTAAAATTGTACCGTTCCAAGTTCCTCAAGAAATTGAATAGTGGAAATCGAATCAATTTGCTGAAATTAGTTAAGATTTGTGAACTATTAACCAAATTCATTGAGTCTTGTGAAAAATCGAATAGCATAAAATCAGGTGAAGAAGTTCAAATTGAAGATATTTTCAAGAATTCAACAGGGGATCTACTCAATGCTCGTAATTTAGACCAATACTTACATAAATCCAAAATTGCGTACAAAATCGAATCATACCTCGAGAAAACCGAAAATGAAACCAGAAGTAGTTCCAATCCACTTTTGTTTGTCATTGTCAAGTTCCTCAAAAGTATAGCGAACCCTTCGAAGGAGGGGAAATACTTTTGGGACAAGAGTAACGGAACAACTACTTTGAACTACATGTTACTAGACCCCAGCGCAGCATTCAAAGAAATCATAGACCAAGCCAAATGTGTTCTTTTATGTGGAGGTACAATGGAGCCAATGTCTGATTATGTGGATTATCTTTTCCCATTGGTCCCAGTTGACAAAGTCAAGAAGTTCTCATGTGGACATGTAATTCCAAAGAATAATCTTGAAGTATTCCCAGTTTCACAAATGAATGGTACTGAGCTTGAATTTCTGTTTGAGAAGAGACAAGATGTGAAATTGATTTCTGCATTAGGATCGCTTATCGTTGAAGCTTGCAAAAGAATCCCTTATGGAGTTGTTGTTTTCTTCCCAAGTTATAAGTACCTAAATCAGGCATTAGAAATATGGGAAAAATCAGGTATTATGAGATCAATTCGATCAATAAAGTCAGTTTTTCAGGAGCCTTCAGACTCTTCCAAAGTTGAGCAAGTATTATCTCAGTACAGTCAGATCATTAATAACGAGAAAAAGGGTGCAATTCTCTTCTCAGTTGTGGGAGGCAAGATGTCTGAAGGGATTAACTTTTCCGACAATCTTGCAAGAGCAGTCCTTATGGTTGGATTACCCTATCCCAACGCATATTCTGGTGAAATGATTGCTAAAAGAAAGTTCATCGAGAATAGCGTGCTCACCAAAGGAGGTACTAGACAAGAAGCTATGGACAAATCAAGAAATTATTATGAGAATATATGTATGAGAGCCGTCAATCAAAGTATTGGAAGAAGTATCAGACACATCAACGACTATTCACTTATTTATTTAATAGACAAACGATTCAATTACCCAAGAATCCAAAACAAATTAAGTAAATGGGTTCGAGATAGACTACAACAAACCAATCAAATCTTTGATGCCACTAATGATTTCTTTATAAGTAAATCTCTTATATAGGATATACAACATCACTTCGCAATACCCATTTCTCTCCATCTTTGACTATTTCCGCTTCATGTTTCAAACAATCATCTCCATGCTTATGCAATAACGCCATTCCCTTACAAGGATGAATATTCATTGGTTCTACTCCTCTCAATTCAGGATAGAAGATAGTTCCCCCTCCTTTAAACTCCTCGTCCCCAGTTAAATAAATCAACAATGTCCATTTAGTCTTGCCCTTCTTATCACCTTTTGGAGGAATGGGACAAACTACCGATTCATCATAATGTTTATCAAAATGATGTCCTTTTCTATATCTATAAACACGTAGTTGGGGATTCAATCCACATGCATTGCCAAAAATATCATGAATCTCTTGCATCTCTTCATCCTCATCGTATTGCTTTTCTTGTAATAAAATCTTTGAAAGATATTGCCATAGTATATCACTTGATGCTAGGTCATCAGGTATGGAACATCGGTCATTGTATCTTAATGCGTATTCTTTGCTTTTGATGAGTGGAGTCGTCTCAAGGGTTAATTCTCGTTCGAATGATTTTATTAATTCATTACAAAGTTCTTTGGTGAAGAAATTGTTGATGATAATGATTTGATCTGAAACTATTGATTCTGGTCTCGGTATATAGAAACTCTTTGTGAGGTCCGCTGGTAAGTTTTTGAATGTTTGTGGAAACGTGTAACTCGATTTGGAAGACCTGGAATCTTTCACTTTCTGTTTAGGTGGCATTGGGGGTCAAACGAACAGATGGTCTCTACAATCTGATTGAAAAATTTATTTGTTACTATCGAGAATAATTTTTCTTAACTATCTAATTATACAAAGGTTCTACAATTGTGATTCTAAATTGATCAACAAACTATAAGTTTCTCTAGGCATCTTATATTGTACCATCCCAGCGTAAATCATACAATTCTTAGCCACTTGCTTCCAACTAGACAATTCATCTCTTTGGTTGCTTAAAGATTGATATCTCTTCGATAAGATCTCATAGTTCAAATGACAAACACTAGTCATAACCATAATCAACAAAGAAGGAATAACTTTAATCAAATTATCATCCAAATCATTATTTTGGATCATTTCGCTCATGTTTCTAATCTTAATAAGATCATCATTAGGTCCTACTGGAATAAGATTCAATTGATTGATTTGTGTAATTACTTCACGCCAATTCTTTTTGAGGAATAAATCTCTAATTGTAACCATTGGTAATAATAAATCACAAGTTCTCTTCTTTTGCAGAGATATCTTATCCAATATAGAACCATTATTATTGAAGATCCTCATAATATGTTGAGACAATAAAATTATATTATTATCAACAGTATCTTCACACTCTTTATTATCGTCAATATATCCATTGGAAATAACTTGATAATTACCATATCTTATAATTGGCTTATTCAAATCACTAGTAGCAAAAATCTCTGCCAATAATTTATTAATTAAAGAAACAACAGTATCATATTCACAACATAATTGATATAACAACAAGGCATCAAATATTCTACCTTCTTCTTCACATTTACTAGCAGTAATTTCAATAATTTGATGATAGAATTCATCAATATTTTCCAATTTAATTAATTTTCTTTGTCTTTCTAAAATACCCAGGATTTTAGTTCCATTAGCTTGATTTAATTCTCCCAATAAGATTCCAAATTCACGAGAAGTCAAGATCAATTCACGTAATGCTTCATGACAAATAGCAATTTCTTCTTTACATTCACCTCCCTTTGCCATGGCTATTAAAATTAAATATTGACATGCAACTTTTGGATCACTAATTTTGAAACTTCTAGTGAATGAACCTACTAATCTACTGAAATTAATTTGATATTCATTGTCGAATACACTCAACAAGACATCTTTGCTTGCGTTGGAACACTTTAATAAACCATAGTAGATGAATCCAATAGCCAAATGAACCGCATCACATTCATTGAGTTGTTCATAAGTATATTGAACTGCTAATTCATAAAGACCAACTAAAATCAAGGTCTTAAGATAAAGTGGATTATTTGGAGATGTTAAGAATGCTTTTGGGCCTAAATGAATGATTTTGTTTTGTAAATCAGATAAATCATAATTCTCAAATAATAATGTAGACTCATTATTTGATTGCTTTTGTTTAATAATAGATAAATGGAACCATAACCAATCTTCAATAGATAAATTAATTGATTGAGGTAAGGATTTCTTAGTTAAATCACATTTCCCAATGATTTTATAAACCGAATATTTGTAAGGATCATAATTGATACTTGTATCAACATCATTTATAATGAATTGAAATTGTTGATTAAATTCCTGATGTAGCCTTTCACTTAAATCTGAAGGTAAGGTATGATTATCACTGTCAACATATTTCTTAATATATACTGGGAAATTCTTATCAAATTTATTGAAGATTTCACGATTACCAAGAACTAATCCCACAGCATCAAGATATAACCCAGCACGGATGAGATAAAAGATTAACGCCCAAATTGGAGTACCATTAACCAATAAGGTTTTATTAACTAAATCAGGATCATTTTTCAAGATTATTTGGTGAATGAAATAAGAAATCTTGTTCAAGTTTGTTGCTGGCAAGAAATTTGGGGTTTTATTATTATCCTTAATATAAAGCTCATCAACATAGTTGAAAAATTCTTGTTGTAAGTAGTTCTTACTATTGTTTACAATAATTGAATCTAATTCATCTTTATCAACATTATAGAATTTCTGCTCTTGACTAGTCTTTGAGAATTTTTCATTAGTTAATTCAATTAAAATCTTCCAAATTTCTGAAATTTGTTTTGATTTCATATCGTTTTGTAATTTATTCAATTCATTGAAATTTAAGCATAATGGGAAATTTCTTGATTCTAATCTAGCTTCATTAAGAGCATATACTATTTTGGCATGATTTTCGAATTTTTCTCTAGTCATTTGTTTAGCTGATGAACTTGCTGTTGTTGAGGTGCTCAATGGAGATAAAATATTACCACCTGAAGAGAAGTTCGTTTTCTTCCAAATTAAAGAATTCCTAATAGAATCAGCACTATTATCTCCATTATATTTCAACCCAACTGCTTTTCTTAATTCATCTCTTCTAACTTTCCAATCAATTGAAATGTTCGCATTTATGAAATTATCAAAATCTTTAGAAGCCAAAGCTAACGATTGTTCAATCGAATTCAATATACTTTCATCTTTTTTGGTATTTAAATAATTTTCGATATTTTCTGAAGTTACACCAACTCTTGATGCAGTAACTGGACCGACACCTCCAGTGGTGGTTGTTCTTTGTGGGATATGAATTGCATTCAAATCATTCTCAATCTCTTCTGCACTAATCCCACTTCCTGCTAATAAATAATGAGCTTTAGTATAACTAACATCTTTCTTTGAATCGTCAAGCTTCCTCAATTGTTGTGATTTTCGTTGTAATTCATTTAATGTAAGATGAATTGATCCAAGTTCGACATTGTCAGTGTTTTTAGGTAAGTTATTAGCCGATTCCAATAATTCTTTTAATAATTTAGAACTGTTTGTAGCATTTATTGACGTTGGCAATGTAAATGTTGATGAAGCAGCATTGGCAGATGGATTAAGAGTTGAACCTGCTGCAGCAGGAGCGGTCGTTCCACCTGTTGTTGTTGATCCACCAAACGAAGGAGTTGTGCCTGAGAATTGTGAAGTTGGTTGATTCTGTCCAAAGGAGAATCCACCACTTGTACCTATCGTTTTAGATTGAGTACCAAACAACGACATTCTTGATTCTATCTATAATGATATTTTCCAATTGATGTCCCCGTGAATATGAAATCGTGTTGCAAATAAAAAACCACAACAACTCTGAAAAGTGTATTGAGAAGAGGGTAGTGGATAATTGAACAAAAAAAAAAAAATTAGGAACTAAAGGGTTACCCGCACACTCATCTTACCTTCGCACTATAAAAGTTCATGATGCCCAAAAAAATTTTCAAGTTGTTTTAAGTTCTTCTTTTATTAACTTTGTCCAAAAGTAATCCATCACTTAGACAGTGCATTGTAATGGATATCACATATTACGCCTAGAGTATAGCTGCCAGTTTTTGGTTTGTTATGTTCGCCATAGTGATTGTGATGTTGAATCTATCGTTATCAAATGCGATGTGTCGATGGAAAGATCAATGTTTTTATTGTGTCTTTTAAGAACCTGTCTGGAATGCCAATGATGAAAGAGAGGTGTCAGGAGATCCATATATTCCCTTTTCTATTAATACTAGTTTTGTAATTTGATTTTGACGGGGGATAGTAGTAGAGCAATGCGTACTTATAAATGTCTTCACAATTTGTTGAGACTATAGTAGTGAGTTCAGATTTGCATGTATTAGTTTAGAAGTCGAACGAGGTGCATTGCACTATTATCTGCCAGAAATCTAAAGTTTCTAAGGCGTATGTGTACGAAGGTCTATGTCAATCCTGGATTGAGCGTTTTGTGAATCCAGTCGCGACAAGAATCCTCTGAATCTTGTGTAATGAACGAGTTCATGCAATACATGAGATGCGAAACTTGCACAAGTATTTGGAATTAGATGATTCAAAGTGTTTGACAAAGATACTGTCGAATAATCATTCCATAGCTCTCTTAAACATAAAAGCTGGGAGAGCCAAGCGTCCTGGGTTCAGGTCACGTGTTCATTTCGATGACAGAAAAGATTTTCATTTCATAGATCTTAGTTTAAATCTGGGTTTGTTGTTGATACTATGTCGACCGTTTCCACCAATATGTCAAATGCTATTGTCACTACAAAATATTGGGATTGGCCAATCCGAAAGCGTAATATAGTACTATACAAGTCCGAGGACGAATTACCTGTGATACCTCCAGTTACATTAGTCAGTTACATCCAAGTATACATACTTGCGTTTCTTGAACTACTTAGAACTACATTCACATGGTCAAAAGCTTATGATTTGTTCCCGGATATTTGTACAAATGACCCTCCAGAATACACCCTCTATATAGTTGGGCTATCATCATTGCATAATCCCCCCTTTGATTCATTGCAGCTTCGCTGGGCTATTTGGGATAGGGCAGCTAATAAGTCACATAAAATGGTTAGGGATGTTTGCAAGCATGATTTCAAATTTATGAACATCAAAGACTTCAAACAATGGTTTCTTAAATCTACACTTCCCACACAAGAGGGATCAGACACGCCTGTTGATATTTCGTCATTGATCAAGTCCGACATAAGAGAAATGTTACGTTTCAACCCCCCAGGTAATATTAGGGGACTTTTGAAACAATTGGATAGATTCAGTAAATTTCATTATCTAGTTTTCATGGAAACCAGTACTGTGGTCGATATGCTTTTTAATACGGTATGGTGTGATTTAGACTGGTTTAAACCACAGGTTCTTAAGCATGTTAAGGGAGATATTGACTTTACGCATTTGCTATATAAATTATTGAGGGAGGAACTTTATGTGCCAATGTCTTTTTCCGAGAGTAGAAATGAAGGTGGAGGGGGAAAAAGAAGAAGAAGAAGAAGGTCAAGGAGGGGAATATCAGGTTCTCAGTCTGAAGATAACAACGTTTCGATTCAGCAGGAAGATCATCCAATGCAGGCTGATCAGCTTGTCGAATCGCGTAGTTACAATGGTACAGAATTTACCAACCGTGCAGTTCAAGAATTATTTAGAACTCATAATATTAGACATGAAACTACAGTAGTAGGAAATTCCCATCAAAACGGATCAGCTGAAAGATCTATTAGAACCATTATTGAACGTGGACGAGTTGCTTTGATTGAATCCAACCTTCCAGCACCATTCTGGTCATATGCATGTGAAACAGCAGCTTATACATATAACAGAACATTAGATCTTGATAGCAAAGTGACTCCATTTGAACTATACTATGGCAAACCTTCCTTTCAAATAACGAAGAACATGTTTAGCAGCTGCCATATCGCCCATAGATGGGTTTTGGAAACATGTTCTTCGTTATTTGAAAGGAAGGTTTGCCATAGTATAGTTCAAGATGATCAAAATCATGAGTCGGTAAGTATGAGAAATCAATTGACTCAGTATTAACATCAAACGTAGGAATTTTCTGATTCTCCAGTGGCTGAAGATGTTTGTGGAAGTACTGGAATTCTGAATATCTGGCGGGAAATAACATATCTAGAAATGTAACTGTATTATGAGGATGAACTTTACCTGTGACTGGATTATACACTAAGAATGCATGCTTGTTACTGGCATATCCAACCATAATCCCTTGAATAGAAGAAGCATCAAATTTTGTACCTTTGTGTTTTGGTAAAATGTATGGAAAAGCACTACATCCAAATGGATGAAGGAAGTTTATTTGTTAGATAGAGAAAGTGAATAGAATTGTTTATAAGAACAAAGAAAGTTGTAAGACAAACAGGACTCACTATTCGTAATTGTATGATTCATAAAAGATTTAGACAGACACCCTGAACCTCTCATCAGTAATAATATATTCGAACCACTTCTCAAACGATACGTTGAAGTAATTTAGTTCCAGTATATTTTTTTTTGCAATTATTTTTCAAATAAAAGGCTGCAACTCTTTTCCCTAAACAATTCTTTTCCCGAAAAATTTAGATAAAAAGGATAGCTTATGGAACTTAAGAGAATAACATAAAGAAGGCACCTAACTCTTCTGCTTTCAAACAGCTACAGTTCATTATCGACAAAGAGGTCAAAAATAGTCACATCCAACAGTAAATTAACTAATTAGTCCAAAGGTTTGTTGGGTAAAAACCTAGATGTTACACAAAAATCTCTTTCAAATAGTTTATGATTGTCTGGATAACTCGCATTAGGTTATTGTTGATCTTCTTTGTGCAAGCACACCGTTTTATTCTTCAAAACAACTGGGGTCAAATCGGTTTACTTGTTGAATATATGTGAAAGCCACCTATAAAATAAAATGGTGAATTATATTCTATTGATAGTTTAATAGACTAAAAACGGTTTCATTCATTTTGCAGTCATGTGGAATAACCTTCCGATAAGTATTGTAGGCTTTTTGTGATTATTAAATTACGAATATAATATTGAACAATTGCACACGATATGAAATTTTTTTTTTATTGGATAAACTAAAAATTTAATTTAAATTTTAAAGTTGCATAATTAATGCATGTGATAATTTTAAGTTAATTATCTTAGAACTGGGTTGACTTATTACTTCTTTTGATCCCCTTTTCACTGATCTCGTGTGACAATCAATTTTATTTTGAATTTTATATTTGATAGAAAATATGTCTTACTCTTTAAAGAATCTTAATTGAATAAGGTCAATGCATAAAACCAGCGCAGGGTTCCAGATATTTTGCATTGCATTAGAGAACTTTCCATTCGTTCAATCAGAGACGAAAGTATTTTTTTGAAAATTTCTTTTTTTCTTTTCAACGGAAGTATGTATGAATCAATGAAAAATACAACAACAATGAAATATACGAGAGGATACGGATTTATTCTCAATCAATTTCATGTACTGTTTAATACTAGAGAATTGATGAGAGGACAAACCTTTCCTGATTAAACAATGAGATACGGCACCATAAATTATGTGTGTATGATAATGTCAGATCAATGTCTAAAAAACAAAATTGCAACGATAAACGCACAGAAGAAGAATTTTTATTTTTTTTTAAGTTTTCTATTGATTGATAATTAAAAAATATTTTTTTTTTTTCTAAGCAAAAATTTTTTTTTTTTTCATTCAATTTTAAGTTTAAAAGGAAGATAAAATTCCCAACAATATTCTTTCAATCTCTCTTTCTCTCTTTCTCTCTTACTTCTCTAACCTCTTGTCTGTTTACGGTCGTTCTTTTTTTTAATATATCTCCACTAAGTCAAGATGTCAGACAAATCAGTTGATGACAAAATTGTCATTGATCATTCCTTTGAACAAACTTCATTCCCCGATAATGAAAAGAAAATAGATGATTATGAAGATACATCAAGTAAGATTAATCATGAAGGTGGTACTTTAAAACGTAATTTCTCCACATATTCCATCATTTGTATTGGTTTCGGATTAACTAATTCTTGGTTAGGTATTTCTTCCTCCTTAGTTGCTGGTATAAGTTCCGGTGGTCCAATGTTAACCATCTATGGTATTTTAATCGTTGCCGCAATTTCTTATTGTGTTGCTGTCACTTTAGGTGAAATGTCATCGGCAATCCCATCTGCTGGTGGTCAATATGTTTGGACAAGAGTTTTGGCTCCAAAGAAATATTCTTCATTTTTGGCTTATATTTGTGGATCAATGTCATGGGCTGGTGCTATTTTCACTTCTGCTTCTATGTCGGTGGCTTTAGCTTACCAAGTTATGGGATTTTGGCAATTGACTCATCCTGAGCATGTGGTTCAAAAATGGGAATTATTTGTTTTGTATGAAATTATTACCCTTGTTTTATTTGTGTTTAATACTTATGGTAAGGCATTACCAGCATTAGGTAATGGTACTTTATATATTTCATTATTTTCCTATACTGTCATTTTAATCACTGTTTTGGTTTGTTCTCGTGGTCGTTATCAATCTGCCGAATTTGTTTTTGTTCAATTTGAAAACAACACTGGGTGGAAATCTTCTGGAATTGCTTTTATTGTTGGTTTAATTAATCCAGCTTGGTCATTTTCTTGTTTAGATAGTGTTACTCATTTATCTGAAGAAACTTCCAAACCAAGAACCGATATTCCAAAAGCAGTCTTATCAACCGTCACTATTGGTTTCGTTACTGCATTCACTTATTCCATTGCCATGTTCTACTGTATTAACAATTTAGATGATATCATTAATTCAAACACCGGTATGCCAATCTTGGATATCTTTTATCAAGCATTAAGAAACAAACATGGTGCATTAGCATTAGGTTCATTAGTCTTTTTAACTGCTACTGGTTGTACTATTGCTTGTCACACTTGGCAAACCAGAATTTGTTGGAGTTTTGCTAGAGATAATGGATTACCATTATCTAAATACTTGGCAATTGTTGATCCAAATTTAGGTATTCCATTAAATGCCCATATTTTTTCCATGTTATTCGTGGCCCTTTGTGGATTAATTTTCTTAGCTACTGATGCTGGGTTTAATTCTATGATTGTCGGTACTATTACTTTGATTTTAGGTTCTTATTTGGTATTTTGTTTTTGTTTATTATATCGTGGTAGAAATAATATCAAACATGGTCCATTCTGGTGTGGGAAATTTGGATTATTCTGTAATATTGTTACTATTTGTTATGGATTCTTTGCCTTGATTTTCTTTTCATTCCCAATGACTATGCCAGTTACTGGAGATACTATGAATTATTTCGCCGTTGTTTTGGCTATTTATGTTATTTGGGCTTTAGGTTATTGGTGGTTCCCAATTAAAAGTTGGGGATGTAAACATAAATTCGCTGGTGGTAGACAAGGTGAAGAAATTGAATTCCCTGATGTTTGTTTAACTGATATTTAGAGACATTTATTAGACTTTTTAGTTCTTAGTTATTTTTGCAGGTTTTTGTATTTTCTGTATATTATTTATTTAATAATTTATTTCATCGTTTTTAATTCGAAAAGAACATTTACCATGACTCTTTCTTCTGAAGTAAATTGTCAGAAACTAAACTTCCAAATGGAAAACTTAGTTCTCATTTGGAATGTATAGGTCCATAATAGAGATTGTCCCGGGCTGCACTCAAGACAGAAAAAGGCTTTACCTCGGAAGATATACAGTCTTTAGAGTCTTCCATGCATTGAGTCCATTTCCATCTTGATCCTGCAAAGAAAGCCGTTTAACAAAAGGTAAACAGTGACTAGCTGGAAAAGAAAGCTGATTAAATTGGACCTTGAGCGACCTGACTTAAATCGGTTTTTTGCAGCCGGCTCAAAGGTAAGAATTGGCACATTGACCAGGATGACTGGCTGGGTTAGAAAAAGCAGTCTACACAGTTCCCCAGATAAACACATGAATTTAGCATGGGCCAATATCAAATCTTTGCAATCACTTACTAGAAATTCGCCAGCAGAGATTATCTTGGAGACAAGATGAAAGCTTGCTTAAATCCTGAAGGTTTATTTTCTCTGATTCGTTCAGCTCATATATTTCATCTAGATCATTTGTGCCGGTCGTTAAACAATACGTAACCAGTTCCCTATTTATTCGTTTATTCCAAAGCCACGGCCATAAAAGGCTCTAGATGTGTAATTGCAAAAACGAAAGTGGGACGATTTATTATTTTTGCAACCATATCAAAATAATACCCGGTCAGTCGTGTACTTTTTCCAAATAACGGTTTTAATTTCTTTTTTTATTCCTTTGTCTTATGTCACGGTTTTGTCCGTTACCTCTCCGACTAATGCCGAGACCGAGGAATAATATTTTTTTTTCCTGGTGGCAATTGATTGGAAGGATGGATGTTTCTCCTCCCCCACAAAAAAAAAGTCGGCTTGAAAAAAAAACCATCCAGCTAAATTTGTCTGCTAATAAAATCACCACTGTCATATTCTTGAAATTTTCATTTTTTTGCATGACTTGATATTCAGATAGCTGGAATTTTCTGGTATGTCATCCCTAATTGTATGATATTTGCAAGTATATGAATCTGATTTAGATTGTTGATTATTACATTTAGAACGACTAGTGAGCTTATTTGAAAGAAATTGCAAATGTGTATTACTTCAGAGAGTTACAAGAAGTCCGATAGGTTTATTGATTATTATTTTCTAAAAATAACGAAATAATTACAAATTCAATTCGAGGGTAAAATTATTTAGCAACTCTTCTTTTTCTACGTGTGAATAATATTTTTTAGTATTTTGACAATTGCTAAATATACGAAACATAAATCGAAGGCTGCCAATGGGAGTAGATAGGGTAACATCGGGTAGCACAAGATTGAAAACTCACAAGAGACTGATATGAATCCATATGTGATGATACGCGTAGTTGCAAAAAACAAAAAAAAAATAGAATTAAAAAACAGAAGCATACAAGAAAAACTTCATACTTCCTTTAAAAATTATTATGTCAAGCAAAAATAACGTTTTTACCCCATAAATTATTCCTAATAGAGTAATGACCATCCCAAGTATCAAAACCACCTAGGATTCAACAATCCTCTTTTATCTACACGTGTTTTACTATTCAATAGTACTGTATATATCTTTATAAATCTATTAACATATATATAATCTTACGTTGTCAATGGTACTCATGCATATAAGTTAAATATTTGATGGTTTTTTAAAAACGATTGAAACCAAAAAAAAGGACGACGCACATTTTTCAATGCCCGCCCCGGAATCCGAAAATTTTTATTGAGAGAGGGAAACCACGTTCCATTTTTTTTTCTTACATTGGAAGTATAGTAATAGGATAATAGAAACGAACAAAAACAAAAGGATTAACAAATTTAGAATTTTTTTATAGGGGGTTGCTGGTGTGTGGTTTAATGTATAATTAAGTAATGAAGTCAATTTCATGTTGAATGACGTCTCTTGAATAATGTGGAGAAAGAAGTCAGAATAATGTGCTGGCATCAATGTGATTGTTTGAAGTCAAAATAAAATATTTAGATTGTACAAATAAACAATAAGATTTTTGGATAAAAGGCAAAAACTTAAAAATCCATCAAAATTATGACATTTACGCATGTTTCTTAAAATATATATAGCCACAATTTAATGACTGATCTATTCTGCTCTTTCAATGTATATCAGAAGAAATGATAAATCATCAAGGAAAATGAAAAGGGGATCAGCAAAACTTTGTGGGTAAATCAAAACGGATCATTCCCCTTTTCTCATCTGATGTAACATTAAATAAAATAGGGAAAGAAAAACGTGAGGTCATATAAAATGAATTTTGCAACAACAACAGCAAAAGTCTTCTTCTTCTTTTTCTATTACGAGTATCAAATTTTCTTCTATTCTAAAAAAGCAGATTAAATGTCAATGTGTCCGGAATACAATTTATGCGAGTGACCTTCTCTGCCAGTNAAAAAAGCAGATTAAATGTCAATGTGTCCGGAATACAATTTATGCGAGTGACCTTCACTCTGTCTGTCTCTTAATATTGTAAAGTCATCTTTTGTAAGTTATAAAATTTCTTGTTTATTAAAATATGAATTTTCTTGTTCAAAAGAGATCGTGTTTTAGTTTAATTAATTAATTAATTATTAATTGATAAACTTCTAATTAAAATTAATCAATTGATTAAGATGGGAATATAAATAGAGAGAGAGAGAGAGAGAGAGAGAGAGAAATGTCTTGGTTGATTTAAAGTATAGATGAAACCCATACTACTGTTGATGTTATTGCTGGTGTTCTAAGCTGATGGTCCAAATAACAAAAAAAAATTAAAATTAAAAAAAAAATAAATAAATTAAATAAATTATTAAATAAATTGTAAAGAGTAGTAGTAATAATAATAAAATTAATGCCAGAAAATTTTCCCTCTCTCATCCAATTTTTTTTTTTTTTTCTTTTTAAAAATTCAACCAACTCACCACACAATTCAAATTTCTAATTCTCTTTCTCTTTCTCTTTCTTACATTCCAACCAACCAACTAACCATCCAACCAACCAATTAAATAATCATTACTACACATTTAAATAGACAGAAGTAGTGTAATCATAAACATATACACTCTTACTATTCATCAATACAACAACAAGTCACATACTAAACCATACACAGTAGCTCTCCCTCCCCCCCGTTGACCTTTTTTTTTTTAATACACCCCCCCAGCTTTACTTTTATTTTTACAACAACAACAAACATATATAATTTTTGACAACACAACAAATTAATATAATATAATAATCATTCAAAGCAACATCATCATCACCAACACTAGGAAGCGTAGAATGTCAATACATGGAGAAGTATATTCAGGTGGAGCAACCACCTCTCAACATGTTGATGCAGAAGATGATGAACATTTTCAAAGTACAACATTTAAATTAAAACGAACAAGGTCAATAGGAGTATTGGATGAATTCATTCCAGATAAATTAAAACAAGATGATGATGATGACGACGACGATACATCAACAGTAACATCATCTAAATTCACCCCTTTATTATCAAATAATCTATTAGCATCCGGTAATAATAACAACAATCCTCATCTAACAATTAATACATCAACATCTGGTCAATATTCTTCACTGTCTTCTACTTCTTATTCATCAAGTGAAGATGACACAGCTCAACAAGATACCCTTAATACAACAACATCTACAACTAATCATCAACCATTACAACCACCACCACCACAACCTCCTTTATTAACTATAGATTCACAATCACCATCACCAGTAGCGTCACCATCGCCGTCTGCAATATTAAATTTACAATCACCAGAATTATTACCTCATGATGATACTGATTTAACTATGGAACCTTCTCGTCATGTAGATTATTTATCTTATCAATGGGATGTATCTGATATTTCTAAATCTTGGAGATATGTCATTCAAAAACGTAAAGATGTTGCTAATGCTGCCCGATTAGAAAATGCCAGTTGGAGAACTTGGGCTCAAAGAAGATCAAATTTAAAAACAATTTCTCCTGAAGTTGTAAATTGGTCAAAAGATAGTGATGTCACTTGGCTTTATGGACCGATTTTAAAGGATGATGATCATCCTTATCTTCATCATCATCACCATCATCATCATGCTGCTGATGATTGTCAACTTCCGCATCATCATACCCGTGCTCATTCTCATTCTCAACATCATCCTGGACATAGTGTTGTAGCGGGAGATATTTCAATTGCCAAGAATAGTCAGAATTGTGAAGCTGTTGTACAACAACAACAGCAACCTGTTTCAGTTCCAAAACCAATTTTGAAAAAGAGATCAGTTCAAGAACTGATGATTAGTCATTCAAATTTATTGAAATTACAATTGGCAACTAATAAAGTATATCAAAAACAACGAGAACAATTATTGAAACAACAACAAGAAATGAGACAACAACAAGAATTACAAGAAAAGGAACAACAAAGATTACAGAAGCTGAAATCTCAAGATATCCAAATTGATACCCCACAACAAAATACCAACCCTGATTTCGATGATTATGATGCAATCCTGGCCAAATTGAATAAACAATATGAAAATAAAACTCCAACTGATAATTCAAGTGTTGCTAAATTACAAACATTATTAAATAAGAATAGACAAGATATTCAAGTCTCAATAGTAAAAGCATCAGAAAGTGATCCAGTATTAGCAACTCCAGAATCGGAACTTATTGAAAGTAAAAGTCCATCAATTCGAGAACCATCCCCAACATCTCTTCGAAAAGTGATATCGCCATTAGATATAGATTATTCACAACTGGATCAACAACAAAGTGCAATTGATGATTCATCATCGTTTGTATCCGAAGAATCTCCACCCATTAAAGAAGGTAGACATATTCATTTCAATGATGAAGTAAAACAATGTATTGCCGTGAATAATTATACTGATGACGATGATCAATATGAAGATGATGCCGATTATGATTATGCTAATGAATATTATAATTATGTGGATGGAGATGATGGGTATTATGATGATGTGGGTGCATATTATAGTAATAGTTATAAAAGTAGTACTGGTGGTGGTTATGATTCGAATAATCTTATATATGTGGATGATGAAGATAATGATGCCAGTGATGAAGATGCCATGGATGAAGATGAAGATGAAGATGAGGATGATGAAGATGAAGGTGGATTTTTCATTAAGGTTAAATCAAATTCAAATGCTGCACCATTGATATTAGGACCTAATAATAATAATAATAACAGCCAACAACAAAAGGAAAGTGAAAATACTGAAGATTCAGAATCAATATCTACAAGTAATAGTAAAGTATACAAAACCATTCAATTATTACCTTCAACGACATTAAATTATGGATCTAGTGATGAAGAAAGTGATGATGATTATAATTATAGGTCATCATTATCACATAATGTGAATAATGAAATTAGTCGAGGTTATGATTATTATTATGATTATAATACAGTATATACCGTTGATCCAAATCATGCCATTTATGGAATAAATAAAAACCCACCTGATGTTATCGATGTACCGGAAAGTTTAGAAATGGGGTCAAATTTCGATTATATTGAAGATGTTCAATCAGATATGCCAATCATAAATCCACAAATCATAAATAGTAATAATCCTGCTGCTGTACATATTGTTGGTGCGGGGCCAGGAGGTAGTCCGATTCAATATACAACAACAACAACTAATGTTGCACTTCCTGAATCTCCGTTAATAATAACTAATCCAACATTACCTCCATTACCCATAAAACAATCCCCATTCCAATTGAGTGATGATGATGGATCTGATGAGGATAGTGAGGATGAAGATGAAGGATTATCAATCATGACAAGATCGTCAAGTCGGAATCTCGCCGAATCAGTATTTCATCAGACACCAATAGAACCAAAGCCACCATCAACCAAACAAGATGCAATGCATTTCCCAGAATCTTTCGAACAACAACAGAACCAACCAATAGATGCACCGGTGTTATCTATAAACCCCAAATATTCCAATTCTGCTCCCATAACTAAACAACCAACAAGTTCAAATTCCTTATCCCAACTGTTTTTCGGTGGTGGCGGTGCTGCAGTCACACCCACCACTCCAAAAACTTCCGAACTTTCAAAACTGTTCTTTGGTTTAGATTCCCAGGAAGTAGCGTCATCATCCACGCCGATTGAACCAGAAGTAGAGTGTTTTAAACCAATGCCAGAATTAACGAGAACTTTATCTAACACCAGTAAGAAAGCATCAGCATTACCACCTCAAACTACCAGTGAAAACGCGGCTGCTAGGAGTACATTCCTACTATTGGATGAAGATAGTGACGATAGTGAGAATGAGGATGGGTTTGGACAGAAGAGTTATGATAGATTGAGTCAATTTGCTGATAAGAGTGGGATAAGAACACCGTCACCGTTTGAAGGGAGTGGAAGTAATAGTGGGAGTCCAACTGTGACAGCGACGAATATAAGTGGTGGTAATGGTGGTGGGAATGAGAGTAATAAGAATTTAATGGGACAAGCTAAAGGATTGGCTAAGCATTTCTTTGGTTGAAGAGAAGAGAAAAGAATGAGACTGTAATGCATCTTATTGGGAAATGGTAATAAAATAAAGGAATTAATTATTGAGTAAAATGAATGAATGAAGAATCAATAACTGTCAAGAATTGTGTTTTTGGTTTTGTTGTTTTTTATTGATGGTTTTTTATTATTCCTGTCATTTTTTTATTATACTGTTACAACTACTTACTTATTGTTATTATTATAATGATAATTGTTTATTCTTTTATTAATTTCTTATTTTTTGATAAAATATTTACTTATATATTAATTAATACAAAATAGTTAATGATTTAAATATCCTTTTCGTAGAACAGAATAATTGACTACATACTACATATGAAATGTGATCTCGCTGGATCTTGAAAAGGGAACAAAGTGAGAGATTTTTCTAACTACGCGAAAGGAAGTATAGACATTGCAATAAGGAATAGGGGATTCATTATTCAGAATGTGTAGTTATTGTATCATCATTAGAAAGCAACTGTATCTACAGTATCTACCCAACAATATTTTGCAATTTGGTAAGTACACTAATGAGCAACGTTTTTTCTCTTTCTCTGTCACCGTCTCTTTATTGTTTTAAGATTTTCCCCCCTTTGTTAGAAATTCCTTAGATAGATAGAGAAGCAATGAGTGAGTGACTCTCTAACAGTCGCATCACTAATATACTAATTCAGGTTACATTTTTTTTGTTGGCAATTTATATAAAGATACTACTCTGTACCAAGTAGTAATTAAATAGAACTTAGAAATACTGGGGAAAGACTACTTCTCTTCTTTTACATTCTTAGAAACTATCCATTAACTATGTTGGGATGTAAATCAAAAGATACAGATATAATAACAATACTACTATCATTATTCACAACCCTCCTATCTACCCATACAACAATCCCATCCCCATCACCTACACCATCACCGCCAGATGATGACGATGGCAAATGTGAATTAATAGGGACTTTTTCATTAATAACACAAGCATTCTTAGGTCTATTATGTCTTTCTTCATTGATTGTTAAACGATTTTATGAATATCCTATCCGTCGTACTTGGCAAGTTTGGTCATTTGATGTTTCAAAACAATTAATTGGGGCATTTGGGGTACATATGTTTAATGTGATACTTTCAGTTGTGAAAACAGCCCCTGATGAGGATGACGGTAGCGGTGCTACTAGGAAGTTGTTTGTCAGACTTGTGAGTAATGGTGGTAACGTAGGAGGAGGAGATGATGATAGTACTCAAGATCCTTGTGATTGGTATTTCTTGAGTATAGTATTTGATTGTACTATTGGGGTTTATATATTATATCTTGTATTCAAAGCTTTTAACAAGATATTAAGAAAGCATTTCCATATTACTCAGATTGAATCAGGAGAATATGGACCTGATCCAAATAAACCATCATTTAAAGCATTTTTTAAACAATTGGGAGTATATTTCATTTCATTAATGATTACTAAAGTTATTTTATATGGAATTGTTGAATGTTTTGAACAAGAATTACTTTGGATAACAAGTCATGTATTATTAGTTTGGTTAGATCAATATCCGGAAGAAATTGAAATATTTATGGTTATGTTTGTAGTACCAATTGTAATGAATTGTTTACAATTGGTATTAATTGATAATTTCATTAGAAACCAATTATGGTCAAATACAAATAAAAGAATAAAAATTGAACATCCTAATTTTCAAGATGATACTGAAAGTGTTTTAAGAAGAGAAATTGAAGAAATCTTACATGATGAACAAGATCATGTAAGGAAATTTTATGGAGAATTGGAAAATGGTAATATTTCCTTGATTACTGATACTACTACCAGTAATGCTAATTCAACAACATCGTCACGAAAGAATTATGGATCAGTATCCAATTAAAAAATGGGGGTTTGGTTAATTCTCTTTTATTTCATTCAAATATAGAATTCACATATGTATATATAAATATCAACATACAAAGTTAATACAAGTCTAATTAATAATCAGGAGTCTATGTACAAGTAACCATTTCTCGGTATTTCTTTCTCTCTCTCTCTCTCTAGCTTGATTTTGGAACTGGGTTTGGAGTGAATCCATAACTTTTCATACAATCAGTATATTGTTTAAGAATATCATCACATTTTCCACTTTCAATAGTATTAAATAATAAGCATTCATCTCTGGCTTTACGTTGATCGATACAGACACAACAAGGCTTTGGTTTATTTTCTTTAGCTTCAGTGGCCATCTCTCTCTATTCTCTTATTTCTATATATATCTGTTGTTAATATTGGGAGTATCAAGTAGAAGAAAGTAAGATTAGTAATTTGATTTTTCAAATTATTAATTGAAAATTGCAATTCCCGAGAGAACCTTTCATTTACAAATGGTGGGAAAAAATGTCGTAATATCACGGGATTAGCGATGCCACCACCACCGTAGGCTTGGAGAACAAACCATTGATAAATTATTAGAACGATGCAAAGATTTCATTGTTTCAATTCTTGGCTGCAACCTCATGAAAATCAATTCTTTGACTCTTATGACTGTCTTTCTTCAAAATAACACCCTTCATTGAATCCCACTGAAACGTGTAACGGTGGGTTACTAGAGATAGGTTTTTGACAAACACATACGACATTCTGTACCAACGACATTTCTCACTGTTGGGGAATTTCGATCACCGGAAAAAAAAATGCCATAGAAATTGGAAGTCAGAGAGACATTTTTTACAACACATAATTCCTTCATTTTGGAGAAGATCAATATCGATATAACATTTCAATTAAACCATTCAATACATCTTTAGATGGCAGAGGACTCATTGAATATTCCTACGGGAAGTCGGATGTCGCTAGATAGTACCAGTATAAACCTCAATGATGATTTATCCTCAGAACATTCATCCCAAATCACCGATAGTATCAGCAGCATTAAACAAAATGATAATCATAAACGATCAGGATCAACTACATCTTTCCCAATTAATAATAATAGAACTAGTATAGATAATGAAAGTGTCTTCCTGTCTAATGCATATTTCAGTTTTTATAATCTTGATGAGAGTAGTAGCAAGAAAGATGATATTTATTCTCCCCTTGGTCCCAATTCAATCTATGAATTAACTAGTGGGTCAGATATTGCAAGAGCTAGAAGAAATCGTCCTTCTAAAACTTCAGTAACGATAAATGGAGGAGCTAGAACTGTGTATAATTTGAATATTCCAACTACTAAAGATATACCGCAGATTCAATTGCTGAAATTGAAAACTAAAGTTGCAAATAAAGAATTACAAGAGAAATATATTAAAAAAGTATCACATGAATATAAAAACTTTGAAACTAGTTATAAATTATTAACTGAAGATACATTACAAAGATTTACTCAACAAGAGAATATGTCAACTTCATCATCAGTAGGGAATTTGCAAATTATTGATCTGATTTCTGATATACCTTCAGTATTTCTAAACCCTGATTTTCAATTAGATGATCCTAGAACATTCAAACAAGTTATAGAAGATGTCAATATTTCACCAGGTGAAGATGACGATCCTGCACTTAGTTTAGTCAATAATACTGAATTACAAGATAAATTATCTAATTATTTAGATATCGTGGAACAAAATTTAATTCAAGAAATAGGAAAATCTTCTGATTCATTCTTTAATGCAATTGGTGATATAGAAAGAATCCAATCTCGTTCAAATAATTGTGTGGAGAGTTTTAATGGTATAATGCATAAACTTCAAGAACTTGAAGTTAATCAATCTGAACAAGGTTTGAAAGTTTTACGTAAATTAATTGAAAAGAAAAATGTTGAACATTTGGAATCATCATTATTACAAATACAATATATTACTTCAATTTTCTCACTTGCTAATAAATCATTTTCTAATGGTAAATATTCAAAATGTTTAAATGAAATTGTCCTTGTCGAGAATTTATTAAGGGGAGTGAATTATGAAGATCTCATAGATGATGAATTGAAAAGATTATACCCGAAGTTAAACTACCCACTTGTTAATCTTACAAGCTTACCTGCATTCGTTCATTTAAGAAACGACTTATTCAATCTCAAACATGAATGTTCAAAAGGATACATTGATGATTTCATAGATTTGTTAACTGAAGATTTAACCCTGCATTATAAAAATATTCCAACTAGGGATACTCTTAATAGAATATATGTTAATAAGGATAAAACCAGGAAATATAATTCAAGACCAGTCAATAATTCATATCTAAATGTGGATGATACAAAAAGAGCAAAAATACGTGAAATCGTCAAAGATTTGGGAAAGGCAGGCAGCCTTTCACTCGCATATACTTCATATCAACACCGTTTCGTAACTGAGATCAAAGATATAATCAAACAAAATCTTCCACTGGCTCAACAACTGACCGAAATGTCTAGTGGACCATCCAGATCCTCACCAGCACCTGAGATGCCTGTACCCAAATCGGCTCCAAATGCCTTAAGTACAAATATCAAGAGTTTGACGCCACGAGAATTTGAAACTATATTTTCTAAAACATGTGCTGAATTATCAGAATGTTTAAGAAGATTAACCGTACATCAAAAATTATTATTAGATATTGCATTGACTACATTACCACCGAATGCAGATATTGATATTATGACATTAGATATCACGTCAGCAATCAATAAAGCAATTGACTTGACTCAAATTAGATTAATGAAAGTTATTAGTGTCCGACTGGAACAGACTGCTGATTTACCGGTGCAGTTTTATCTTAGACTTTATTCAATCACTTCGGCATATTTACAAGAATGTGAATTGATAAATCCTGGATTTGCAATGAGTGGGGCTGGGAATGCATTGGGTGAATGGTTTAGTAATCATATTACATATTTTGTTCATCGATTCCATGTGAATACCATAGGAGACATGTCGACGGAGTGTACCAGAGAAGTTTGGAAAGAAGTTTTGGATCCAATTAAATTGACACCGGCACAGGTTATTATTAATGATTTGTTGGAATATTCGAAATATATTGAACTGAATGGTACAGTTGGATTTTCGGGAGAAAAATGGTTACAACATTTTGATTTTTATGATGATGGTGAGAATAAGGTTAGTAATGAAGATGAGGCTGAGGTTTTACCTATAACTAAGTTAAAAATTGGAAATGACATGTTTATGGTGCCTAATTTATCAGTCAGATCAACTCAGCATATTCGTGATTATTTGATTATCGCAAAAGCGTTTCCTAGCTTTTCACCAACTGTTGAAAATAATTTGTTGAATTATTTTAAGGTTATGAATTCCAAGGCTTCACAAGCGGTGTTGAATGCTGGAGCAACGAGAACTGCAGGATTGAAACATATAACCACCAAACATTTAGCATTATGTATTCAATTTGTTGAATTCAATATTTCACTATTAGAAGGTATAACTGGCTGTTTTAAATCTGATGGTCAAATAAATGGACAACAACTGCATGGAAATCAACAGGATGAACTCAGCATCACTAGAATTATAAGTAATTACAAAGATCATGAAACTGAACTTTTCTCAAAAGTAGTTGGAATGATGTATGATCGTACAGTCATGAGATGTGCAAGTTTGACTAAAATTGATTTATCCGTGCCTGTTAAATACCCACAACCTTGTCATTCATATATGGAAGATTTAGTTAAGGATACAATTACGGTTTCAAAAGTTCTTACCAGATATTTACCCGATTTGAAATGTTCTTTGATCCTACTGCAAATATTTGATAATTATAAACGATTATTTGTGGAAGCATATTGTACTAAATTACCCGTATTCAAAGATTTTAATGAAAAGCATAATATATTAAAAGATATTGATTATTTTAGGGTCAAATTAGGTGATGTTATAGGCTATGGAAATTCAGGACAAGTGATTTGGGAAAATGTAAATTCAATGCCAACTGAAGAAGATACCAAGATGGAACAAATCATGAAACATAGTATTCTGGATGAAAGAAAACAAACGGAAAAACAAAAAGAGGCGAAATTACCTCTGCCACCACCGCCGCCAAGACCTCAAACTACCAAGAGACTTTCGTTCGAAAGATTGATTTCATCAGCGAGAAGTTCGTTTGAGCGTCATAAGACTGAAGAGCATAAAGAAGAACCTCCAATTCCAGAAGTCAAAGATGAATCCCCAAAGCCGGAATCCAAAGATGAACCAGCAACGTCGGAAAGTAAAGTGGAAGATGCAAAATCAGAAGCGAAAGAAGAAACCCCGGGATTGGACGCATCGTTAACAAGTATACAAGACCTGACAGAGGCGAATAAAAAGTTAGAAGAGGATTTAACACAAGAGAAGCACGCTGAAGCCACGGGACCTGAAGTAGTTGAGCCAGAAGCGATATTTGATGTGACTCAAGATAGTCCAGAACCTGAAATCAAAGATGAGAAAACCACGGCAAACATCGACGGAGACCAGAAATTAGGAGAAGCTGAGGCAGACAAAAAGAGTCTTGAAGAGCCAACTTCCACTGCGGCTGTTGAAAACGCAATAAAGGGAGATGAAATTGCAGAAACGTATACAGACCAAGAAATGGCCGAATCGCATACTGAGCCCTCGTTAACTAATGCTACCGAAAAAGACGGAGTCCCGGTTATTGCTGAAAGTAATACCCAGGAAGATGTACCGACTTCGAAGGATTTCCAATCTGAAGAGGCTGATATGGAAAAGGATGAATTGGAAGTTTTATTTGATGCTACAGAAGCTAGTGATACAGAAGTTTTATTTGATGCAACAGAAGAAGAAGGTGCAGAACAAATTGACACGAAAGAGGAAGAAGCTCAGCAAAATGAACCTGATCAATCGGTGGAAGCTACAGAAACTAGTTCGGCTCAAGTTGAAGATAAGACTAAAAAGGTCGAAATTGGAGTGCAAGATGCAAGTGAGGATATTCCCGAATCCGTTATTAAAAGTGAAGATTCTGAATCGAAGGAAGAGCAACTTCCTTCGGATGAAAGCAGAGAATCGGAAGCCGTGAAACCAGTTGAAGTGCCAGAAGTTACTTTAAAAGATGTCGAAGATTCCAAAACCATTATAGAAAGTTCCCCAGAAGTCGAGAGTAAACAAGAAATTGTTTCAGCGGACCGGAATGTTTCGTCCATAGGAAATCCTGGCAAGGAGAACTTGGATGGAGTTTCTAAAGGAGATCAAGACGAATCTGGCTTGCAAAATAATGTTAACGGTAGCAGAGATACTGTTGACGACTCCGTTACAAACATGGAAGATACGGATGTAGTGAAGCAGAACGATGCTGCAGCAGAAGTAATCGACATATCCGAAGACGTGCAGTCTGTTGCAGAGACTGAAGTAAAAAGGGAAATTGAATCGAGTAATGCACCTGACGTTGAGGCGGAAATACTGAACGGATCTAATGACAATACCGACAATCTAGTGGATCAATCAAAACAAAAGCAGTCCAAACCAAAGAATCAAGGGAAGAAGAAAAAGAACCAAAAGAAAAAGAAGAAGTAGTACATAGCACCTTTAGATTAGCATTAATTAATACGTATTTCTATTTTAGTACTATTTACTTAATTGATACTCTCCTGATGCGTCTTTTGTAAATACATGAGGATCTTCAGTCACTATACTGTCGATTAATTCATGTGGAGTAACATCGAAAGCTGGATTCCAAACGTTGATACCGGGAGTAGCAATCCCAACTGTCACTTTTTCGCCAACACCATCTTGTGCTAATTGTGGACCAACGAGGGTAGTCAATTCATTTGCAGGTCTTTCTTCAATTACAATACCTTCACCGGTTGGTGTATTTAAATCAATAGTGGTTTTTGGTGCTGCAATTATGAATCTAATCTTTTGATTTTCATTCTTGTTGTTGAAATAATTGGCAATAGTTGCAAGTTGGAAAGTACCGATTTTATTTGCAGTATCACCATTCTTGACAATTCTATCAGCACCTACGATTATAAACTTAACTGGCGCACTCAGGTCTTTGACTGCCTTCTCGCGGTTCAAGGTATTAATTAAGGAAGAAACCATATTGTCACAGATTAATGTGAATGGGATTTGTTCATAGTCTAATTCATAAGTAGTCAATCTCGCTCCTTGATTATATGGTCTAGTTTCACAAGGGTATACATGATCCAACCAGAAGTCTTCTTTTGTGTTTTCTTCATTCAAGTTCTGATAAGTAGAACGAATTATACCCAAAGCTGTACCATGACCTGAAGTGGCCAAGGATCCAGTGTTACATACGGTGATAATAGAAAATGGACCTTCAAAATTTTCTTCTTTCAAACTGGAGATTATATATTGTAAACCATTCTCACCGAGCTTGAAATTGTTTGCCAAATCGTCGTCATATAATGCGACGGCATAATCGTACAAGAGCTTTAATGTAGTTTTATCTACTGGTTTGGAATCTTCGGCGGCCAAGGAAATCAAAACCTTCATATCGTTCAAGGCGTTGGCAAGATTGACAGCTGTAGGACGGGAAGTAATTAAATAATCCAAACTATCTTTCAAGTCTTTGATAGTTTTAGATGATTCACCGGATTGTAAATACGTATGAGTATCAACTACAACGGCAAATGCACCTACAATAGCAATGGCTGGAGCTCCTCTGACTTGCATTAACTTGATCGCTTGAAATGCATCTTCGATTGTATTTATTGGAATATAAGTTGTCGAGTAAGGGATGACTAGTTGGTCGAGGATGTCTAATTTCACGTGCTCTCTGTCAAACTTAATAGCTTGAAGAGTCTTGTCTTCTTTTGAACTCATCTCTTGTTGTTGATTGGCAAAAGAAGAAGTGTTATCAGAGTCAGAAATGTGAAAATTTTGAAATTTTTTGCAACGTGCGAGAGAAAGAAGAGTACCATGGTAGCGCCAAATCTTCAAGCCACAGTTTATTATTACAAACAGTCAAAGTGAAATTATAAATAAAGTGTAATTACAAAGGAAAAGTATTTAACTAAAAGATAAGTCTTCTTATGCCTTCAATTTCCCATTCTTCTTTAATGGGGTTCCATTTACAACCAAGTAATTTTCTTCCGGTAATAGGACATCTTCCACCTTTATTAATATCAATGAATGTTTCAGCCTTCTGATCTTCTTCTTCCTTCTCATGCTTTTCGTCTATCACAACCTCTTCATCTTCATCATCGGAATATACTTTTTCTTCATCTTCTATTGACTTCTCTGCCTTTGATTTGTTTGCGACTATAATATGTGATTTCTCGAGATAATTGTAAATACAAGAATAATCAAACACATAACCAGTCTCGATAATTGCCGGGTTGGTAATCTCCTTCTTACACAAAGGACAAACCTTGCCTGATTTATAGGGTTTAGATTTTGGTTTGTTGGTGGCTATTCCTGTGGTTCTAGAAGAACGAAGAGCAGAAGCTAAGGTCGATGGAGGTGGTAATGTAAAATCAAGAACATTCCCTTGATTCTTCGAAAGCTTTTTGGAAAAGTCTGAGTTATTCCACCATTCAAGGAATTTCAAAGTAAATATGGCAGCGGGGAAGAAGGTTCCTAATACAAATTTGATTGCTTTCACTATTGGATTAGTTACATTATTTCCAAGTAATTTCAAGATAAATTCTATTGTCGTAGGAGGAGCTATCCGGTTGGGCCCCTTTGAGTCTTCCTTAGGAGCCTTTGGTTCATATTTGGAATAGTCATATTGGTTTAATCTGGAATAATTCATTTTAAATAAATACATCAAGATTGATGCAGATTTACTTGTACCACTCAAATACATAATTGTTGTTATGAAATTTGCTGCTCTATATGCACTTTGAATATATGGATATATCTCAACAAACTTTCTCTTTAATTGAATTTTCAAGTTTTCTTCTTTGGAAAGGGAATCATGTGTATCTAATTGATTGGTGATATATTTTGTATACCAAATTTCATACCAATAATTGAACTTTTCCAGTAAATATGCCACACCAGTAATTTCAAATATAGAAATGAACTGTTGGAAAGGTGTTAATCGCCTCCTCTCTTCAATCAAAGAAGGAACTAACTGGGTCAACTTGCTACTATTATAATCACTATTCTGTGAAAGTGGTGTTTGATTAACTCTTTTTAATCCATAAAAGTTCTCTGTAAATGAACCTTGCCAATATTTAAGAAAATACCATTCAATAAAGCTTCGAAGCACCAAATTAAGTTCATCAAATCTGTTATTAATTTTTAAAAGATATCTTGGATATCTACTAGTATAATGAACCAAGATATATCTTAATGAAGGTGAAAGTAATGCCTCTAATTGATTAGAAGAAATCAACTCAAAAAGAGTTGGTCTCTCAGGATCTAACTGCGATGAATCTAACGATGAGTAATATTCCATATCTCTGTGTGTGTATGCCTATATAGTTAGTTTAAGTCTATGACAAGTGTCCACTAGCTGTTGTAGTTTTAAATGTTGTATTTCGTTCAATTTCTCCCGCAAAAGAAAAATCAGAAAATTCAATCAAAATGTGGAGGGGATAATTTTTTTTTATCCTCGGTTGTACTTTCATTTTTTTTTGGTCAGAAATCTTTTGGTTGCAAAAAATGACATCAATCAGTTTCTGTGTCTTTCATAATAAACAAAGACTTTGGTATAAGGTAACAAATTCCAGTGATAAGTAAAAGACTCCTGGAATCACCCCAATGAAAAGTCTCAAACAAATAATT